GGGGGGGGGTCTTATAATATGATGAAGATTAAGTTAATCAGAATTTTTCTGTATCAACTGTATCCAATTTATAAAATTTAAGAATTAAAAATAATAAAATGTTAAAATATATTTATCTAGGGTCTCCAAGGTGTAAATCTAACTCAAGAGCAACTTCAGATTATCCAACAGCAAGTAAAGACTCAGCTGCTGAAGCAGCAAGCTCTGGCTAGACAGCAGGGCAAGGTGCCTCCTACCAAGGTAGAGATTATAATCAACACTAATCCCCCCCCTCCTTCCCTTGTGGTTTTGTAAACTTAAACAGTATAATTCTGTATTTGTTCAAATTGGCTGACTTCACTTTAACCTCAAATCTCTCGATTTAGCGAGGGGTCTCAGGGTTCATGCATTGGGGGGATGTGGGGGGGGTTAAAGGGTATACACAGGAGAGGCTAAGCCCTAAGGGTACCTACAGGCTTGAGGTCTAAGGGTACCTGCAGGGGTATCTTATATGCGTACTTAGATGAGGCGATTGGGAGGGGGGAATGTTAAAAGCAGCCTACAGAAGATGAAGGGTACTGACAAAGGGGGGGGGATTTTATATTTATATTTTTTATTTTAAACGTAAACACGTTCAGGTGACTCTGGAGCTTTCAAGAGAGATGACGAGCTCATCAAACCAGCTGAGCAGTCCAACCCAGATATCTAACAATCTGCCCTCGGTGGGCGGAATCGCTACGTCAGGAATGGGTATATTCTGCAGCTAGAACCCTCGTCGGGGTCATATATAAATATATATTTATTGGAGGGGTATATATTTTTCAGAATCCCCCCCACTTTTACGTGAGTAATTTGTAATGATATTAAGGAAGTTAAGTTGTTAGTTTTTCCTCCTTTATCGTAAATTTTAATCCCAAAAATTTTTTTTAAAAAATTTAATATAAATTCAGTATTTGAAATAAAATTATTTTTAACAAAATATATACCCCTAGTTTATTACAATACAGGGTGCGTAAAGGAATTGTTCACTAAAACTAACAATACATACCTTTTCAAGTCAATTTTTGGAATTAGAAACCGAATGATCAATTTAACCGCTCAAGTAGTGCCAAACATCTGAATACTTGCTGTCAAAATAAAGATGTTAGGTACTTTCCCAAAGAATTTTTCCCAAGGGGCAACTTCCCAAATTTCCCGAGCGGTAGCTTCCTAAGTATGTCCTAGCCGCAGCGCTCGGCCCCTAGCATGTTCTAGCCACGGTGGTCGGCCCCCTAGTCCATCCTAGCCGCAGCGCTGGACCCCCATTGCAGCCTGCGCCGCCTCAGAGAGTCTAACCTAACCTTTGGGAAGTTGCCGCTTGGGAAAATGCACATTTGGGAAGTTGCCACTTGGGAAAGTACCTAACAACAACAACAAGAAGAACAGTCAAGGCGGTATTTTTTGCCAAAAACCAAGCTTATCTAGAATTTTCTAAATTTTTAAAATATGTTCTGTTTATCTTTACATGGTGCCGTATATTCCGACCTAGATGATTCTAACCTAAAGGTTTTCTGACCTAAATATCGAGTAGTTTGCACGTGTTTTAGGTCGGTTTGGTTGAAAAAAGCTTTAGGTCCGGTTGACATCCTATGAAAAATATATAGGTTTTCCGACCTAAGATTTAGAGATATATTTAAGTTGGTTGAGCATATATATTAGGTCTGTTTACCAGGAAGTTTAAGTTGGATTAGTGACAAGTTTAGGTCTGTTAAGCAATATTTTTAGGTTGGTCAAGCAATTTTTTTAGGTCGGATGAGCAATATTTTTAGGTCGGATGAGCAATATTTTTAGGTCAGATGAGCAATATTTTTAGGTTGGATGAACAATTTTTTTTAGGTCGGATGAGCAATATTTTTAGGTTGTTATACCAATAAATCAAAGCCATAAGTGAACTGTCTGTACGACTACTGTTTCAGTAATGCATGAAACGGGGTTTTTGAGTGGAGCTCAACACCCGTTGGGGCCTGTACATGCATCGCATATTTAAAACATGGATAAAATTGGTCTTTCCTGACCGCAGCGCTCGGCCCCCCTAGCCCGTCCTAACCACAGCGTTTGGCCCAGAATTGAGTTAACCTAACCTAACCCTAAAATAATACTAAATAACTTAAATTATTTGGTAATTTCCTAGAGAACGATTTTTGGACCCCCTCCAATCAATTTTTTAAATGACTTTTTCAACAATTTTCAATTAAATGTAAGACATGTGGCCGCAGTGCTCGGCCCTCTAGCCTGTCCTAGCCGCAGCGCTCGGCCCAGAAATGAGCTTAACCTAGCCTAACCCTATATACACTCTAATTTTATTAAAAATTGTTGAATTAAAGGTCTTTCCTGGCCGCAGCGCTCGGCCCCCTAGCCTGTCCTAGCCGCAGCGCTCGCCCCAGAAAGTGTCTTAACCTAACCTAACTCTAAATAAATACTAATTCAATTGAAAATTGTTGTTTTTATGTTTTTCAACTTTATAAATTTAAGCATTTAAAAAAAATATTACTCATCTATTATAACCTCTGAAATAAAAATATTACTTGACCGACTAAAAAAATGTTGCTCATCCAACCTTAAAATATTGCTCATCCGACCTAAAAATATTGCTCAACTGACCTAATAATATTGCTCAACCGACCTAAAAAAAATTCTCAACTAACCTAAAAATATTGCTCATCCGACCTAAAAATATTGCTCAACCGACCTAAAAAAAAATATTGCTCAACTGACCTAAAATGAATGCTTATCTAACCTAAAATTGTTGCTTAACCAACCTAAAATATATTCCCAACTGACCTAAAATATATTAATAATTCCGACCTAAATATATTTCCAATCTTTAGGTCAGTTTGGGACATTTCGCTAATCGAACCTACAGATTTTTAGGTCGGAAAAACGTTAGGTCAGAAAAACGTTAGGTTCGTTTCCTCTAGGTTCGATGAGCGGGTACCCTTTACATGGCGACGATAATTAAATTAATTATTGTACAGTGTACACTCTGTACAGTTTACATTCATTTAGGAAATTGTAATGGCGGGAGATAAAATTAAATTCTCTCGAATTAAATTAAATTCAAGTTTAATCCTGAAATGCTTGTTCCATTCTAATAGAATAGGATAGGACTAGATTAATGGCTAAATTTAATCCAAATTCTGAGAAAACATAAATTTTCAAAATTATCTTAAAACCCAGAAAGTTTTAACGACGTAGATGCACCGTTATAGTTATATTTGTAATTAATTTGGATTTTAATTTTCACCTTCCAATGCAATCAATGGAGCACCCTGTATGATTACATTCTAATAATTTGAGCACCCTGTACGTTCAATGTAGCTACACTGAATTAATAAAACAAGAAAACTTTAAATTTAATTTTAATCGTCCAAAGGAACTGAGAACTTGACTCAAACTCTTTATTTTCTTACTTTGATGCAAACCTCGTAAACCTTTGATCTTTTAAACTGAAATATCAAAGGTTTCAGTCTAGTCTAGTCGTCTATTTTTTGTTGAAAATATTGTTCTTGCAGTGGTAGCTCATAAGCTTAGTTTAAACCTCCGAGTATATTTTTTGATACTTTTTATTAAAAAATCCTTATATTTTAACGAATTTAGCGTGGGAAACAATTGAAACTATATACCCTTGGTCTAAGCTTGGCTAAAAATGCTTCTTCTGCATGCCATTATTTTTGTTTTTACTTTTCCCAAGTTTACTTTCTTACTGTCTTTAAAAAAAAAAAAATTGAATTTATCTCAAACAATATTTTTAAATGTTTAAATTTTTATTTTCTGTCTTCCATCCAAAGATGTTTGTTTTGTTGGTATTTGGCTTGTTTGTTAAAGGGAGTGTTTGCGAAAAATTAAAAGGGGTATAGGCTTACGTCGAAAAATATTTGATGGTGATAGCTACCAACCATCTGTTGCGTCTATAAGTAGAAAAATGTTAAAAACGACTCAAAGAACGTAGCGTCCATACTATTTCAGAATATTCGAATCGGATCTTCAAAAGATCAATTTAATTCCAAACAAATCATTCAGATATTACAACCTATAATCATCGATTTTTATCGACGCAAGACTCCCTTTAAATGTTCTTTCGCTGTTTAAGTAGTTTACTTTATGTGGTTATTTTTCTATTATTTATTTTTTACAAAAAGCTCGGCAAATTAATTTTAAAACAGAAACATTATCTTTTGACTGAATGGGACAGCGAACATTTTTTTACAACGATGTGAATCTGCTAGACGCTGATTCGCGCACTCAAATATAGAAAAATTAACAAATATTATACAAAACCGTAGTTTTTGTCTTAGGGACTTAAATAAATCACGCACAAAAAAACGCAAATTAATTTAAATTAAAAAATTAAATTTGCAATTTTGTTTTCTATTTTTGATAATTTTATTTGATATCTTCCACATCATTAATCAGATTTAAGAGGATTTACAATATTAAAGTTCAGGCCACTAAAGTTTAACTATATTAAATTATTTTAAAAGGAAATTACATTTTGTTGCATGAACAGTATTGGATTAATTTAGCTACGCTGCTGCATGGTTGTTTTGTTGCTGTTTTGTTGTTATATATACCCTGATATAGGAGGAGTCAGTTTGCCTAATACGCCCGGCCTTCAGGCCAGAGTTGAGAATACCTCACAGCCTTCATCCATACAGAGACAAGAAAAATCAAAACCCAAAATTCAAACAGTGAGTAACCTACCAGAAAGTGTGATTAGACAAGGAAAATATGTGATCAGAGACGGGAAAAAGATCTTAGTACTCCCCCAGCAGGCCATGCTGGAGTACAAGGAGTCCTTGAAGCACCAGGAGTCCCTCATCCAGCCTCAATCTGATCTTAGTCCTCAAGGAGATCCAAAACTCCTCTCTCCGGCAGAACCGGAGAAGTTTGAACTAACGGACGACTACATCCAGCAGACGATAAAGGAGGCTCTGCAGGCCGGGAACCTGACTCCCGACCTCCAGGAGAAACTGATGAATCAGTTGGACGACGAGGACTTCAAGGCGAAGAATGTTAAGGGGAAGAGGGGGAAGAAGAAGCCGGTTTATGATCCTATCTCCGGAGAAATGATGGATGAGGAATGGCAACCCTTATCCTGGAAGAGTAAGCAGACTGTTCCTGCTCCCAGAGAGAAGATAAGAGAACCTGAACCTGAATTTACCCCGTCCTTGAATATGTATCCTAGTGGGGCAGGAACCAAGAAGGCAAAGGTTGGATTCGGAAATATTTACTTAAATACTTGCTTTAATACATACTAAATACTTACCAAATACTTACTGAAATACTTAATTAAATACTTACTTGCATACTTACCTAAATGTTTACTTACATACTTACCCAAATACATATTTAAATACTTACTTAAGTACTTACTTGAAGACGTACTTAAATTCCTCAATACTTACAAACATACTTACCTAAATGTTTACTTCAATACTTACTTCAATACTTACTTCAATACTTACTTCAATACTTACTTCAATACTTGCTTCAATACTTACTTCAATACCTACATCAATACTTACTTCAATACTTACTTAAATACTAAAATACTTATTTAAATACTGACTTAAATACTTACTTAAATACTTAATCTAGTATGATTTTAAGTTACCTTATAGTGGCATTTCTTTTTCACTTAAGAATTTTCATAGGACTGAATATATGTAAGTCCTAGGATATTTTTATTTAACTAGCCTCAACACTTTTTAATTTTAACATTTTTTATTGTTAAAAAAACTTATTTTTTTTAAATATTTGACAAAATGTTGTTGTTAAGGTGCGGGGTGGAACCCATCCCAGCTATTTAGAGGAGAGGCGGCGTATTACCTTTTCTCAGAACAAGCTGACCAGCCTACTCTTCAAGCATAAAGAACAACTAAAGAAGGATATTGCCAAGAAGAGAAGTGTTCTAGAACGAGAATTATCTTTAGATATATCCAAGGTGAATAACAGGAGTTTATTTTTGTGTGGACATCCACCGACAGGTTTTTTTTCCGTATTTTACATTATTTAATCAACAATTTCCGGGCTTAAAATCATTTGTTTTCAGCAATATGGAGGGAAAGAAATGATTTTTCAACAAAATATATATCCATCAACTTAGAGAAATGTTAAAATTAAATGTTTTTGTTTTTCTCTCAGGAGGTTGAGAGTTTGAAGATGAAAGCTATGATGAAGTTAGGAGCTGAAAGCGCGGCAATGATGCGCAAACGAAAACCGGAAGAACAAAGCTCAATTAAGTCGCAACTCACTGCCTCGCTATCCACAGCGCCTGTGCCTCATAAGAAAAGCCGGAAATCGGATAAAGATGGATCTGGGGACCTGAAGTGGACGAAGGATCGTCTGTACTGCGTGTGTAAGACGAAGTACGACGAGACTAAGTTCTATGTAGGATGTGATGTCTGTTCAAATTGGTTCCATGGATCATGTGTCGGGATTACTCCCAAAATGTCAAAGAAACTGTCAGAGTAAGTATTTTCATGACGTAAGGTTTTTATCGTCCATTCGGTGTTTTCCTTTGCTTATTTAAGGGCTTGCAGACGCAATTTCAAGTGAATGAATGATATATCCTTCATTTCCTCTCGTAAAATTGATTATTTTCAAGTGTGGTTTCTTTTTAAAGGTGACTAGTAATTATGGTACAGAAAAATTTTACTCAGATTGGCCGGTTTAAAGGGTACATTCGCGTGGGTCTCCCGAGTTCCCCAATCAAAATTCGAGGCAAATAGGTCCAGGGGTTCCTACGTTATGATCGGACAAAAAACAAACATACATACGGAGATTACAACTTTATATATAAATATATAGATTTCATTTGCATTTTAACGTTCACTTAGTTTTGGTAACTTTAGTTAAATCCAACCTAGGAAATTAACTATTAAACTGCATTTACATTCTTTGATCGTATGTATTCATTGGTCGTATACATAATGCGCAGTACTCAGAATGTAAATATTTATAAATGTATAATTCTTAACCATAGTTCGACATGCAATTCGTGCTTAATTCTATTCACGGATGGTTGATTTCCAAAAATAATGATATCAAAACGTTTTATGTAAAATCCTCCAAAACTTAAGTGCCCGTCGGTTTTGCATATTAATAATAATAAAAGCATATCAACTTACATTACGTAGAAATCAAGCCGAGTATACAAGGTTACCCACAAAGGATATGACAGTAAAGACGACCTGAAGGTTTAATTAAGTATTCTATTTTAATATCTTGGCAATGGAGGAATTTAGTTCACCCTGGTTAAAAAAAACACTTGTACATAATGTATTTTTCTAGGTACATATGTGACGAGTGTACAAACGCGAAAGAAGGAACCGAAATATATTGTTTATGTAAGCAACCTTACGACGAGGCTAGGTAAGTCCAGTTTAAAAAAATTGGGGAAACTCGTTAAAATAATTATTGAAAAATTTTCATCTGCAGATGTGATACACCATGGAAAATTAGAAATAAAAATAAGTTATAAAATTTAAAGTTTTAAAGTTCCACCGGCATCGCCGGGCACTTCAGCCAGTTGATTATATATTGTTTTCTAGATTTTATATTGGTTGTGAACAGTGTCCTGATTGGTTTCATGGCAGATGTGTTGGCATTCTGCAATCAGAAGCTGGCAGCATTGAGGTATTTAGATTAGTTAATAATAATTATTAATTAGTTATGGAATTCGGAGGTTATTATTTACATTCTTTCACTCAGTTTTTTCTTCAGCTCTAATGATTCTTCACTGATTTTTAATCCTGGAAAACGCTAGAAAAAATGTTGCGGATTTCTTTTTTATTTACTGGACCTTTTTAACAAAACAATTTGGAGATTTCTTAAAAATTATAAACAATATGATATCAATTAAGGCTTTCGCTATTGTGCGGGAACATCATTTTCCTCTGTTTAAAAAAGTTTTTTTTACTTTGAAAAATGTTGACTTTAACTGAAGATCTAGGTCTGATTGGTTTGTTTTCATTGTTCTGGACCAAGTTTTTGCTTAAACTTTTAAACTATGAAAGATCTCGAGACCCAAACCCTGATAAATTGAAGCAAAAAAGCTTATATCTGGGGTTTGGAGCCTGTTATTACATATCCAAATAAAAAGAAGTCAAAAGACGCAAGAATACACCTTAGGCAAGGGCCGTAAGTCCTTAGTCATTACTGATTTAGTATAGTCATTTCAGTACTTGACTCGCTTGGTTTTTTGGATATTCATGACTGATCTTTAAAGGTTACTATAGTGAATCCAACATATCATTCTATAAAAAGTGGTTTAAAACGACGTGTACAGTCCCTTGAATAAAATTATTCAGATGTACGAGTGTCCTCGCTGTAACCCAGGATCTAGGATTAACACAGCAAATCTTAGAAAACTACGAGCTCAAGATCTAGAGAATATAAAGAAACTATTTAAACAAATACAAGTAAGTTTGCACCTCACGAGACTTAATATACCATTTAATGATTAAGTTATTTATCTAGTGACTATTATTATGAAGCTGCAAGTACTTGGTACAGTTCCTTTTTTGTCAATTATTTTAGAGCTGCCAGTACTTAGTACAGTCCCTTTTATGTCAATTATTTTAGAGCTGCCAGTACTTAGTACAGTCCCTTTTACGTCAATTATCTTAGAGCTGCAAGTACTTATTACAGTCCCTTTTACGTCAATTATTTTAGAGCTGCCAGTACTTAGTACAGTCCCTTTTATGTCAATTATTTTAGGCTGCAAGTACTTAGTACAGTCCCTTTAATGTTAATTATCTTAGAGCTTCAAGTACTTAGTACAGTCCCTTTTATGTCAATTATTTTAGAGCTGCAAGTACTTAGTACAGTCCCTTTTATGTTAATTATTTTAGAGCTGCAAGTACTTAGTACAGTCCCTTTAATGTTAATTATCTTAGAGCTTCAAGTACTTAGTACAGTCCCTTTTATGTCAATTATTTTAGAGCTGCAAGTACTTAGTACAGTCCCTTTTATGTTAATTATTTTAGAGCTGCAAGTACTTAGTACAGTCTCTTTTATGTTAATTATCTTAGAGCTGCAAGTACTTAGTACAGTCCTTTTATGTCAATATTTTAGAGCAGCAAGTACTTAGTACAGTTCCTTTTATCTTTATTATTTTAGAGCTGCAAGTACTTAGTACAGTTCCTTTTATGTCAATTATTTTAGAGCTGCAAGTACTTAGTACAGTTCCTTTTATGTTAATTATTTTAGAGCAGCAAGTACTTAGTACAGTCCCTTTTATGTTAGTTATTTTAGAGCTGCAAGTACTTAGTACAGTCCCTTTTATGTTAATTATTTTAGAGCTGCAAGTACTTAGTACAGTCCCTTTAATGTCTTATTTTAGAGCTGCAGGTACTTAGTACAGTCCCTTTAATGTCTTATTTTAGAGCTGCAAGTACTTAGTACAGTCCCTTTTATGTCTTATTTTAGAGCTGCCAGTACTTAGTACAGTCCCTTTAATGTCAATTATTTTAGATATGCTAAAACAATCTCTCATCATTGAACGACGGGTTAGTGTTAATAATAAAAATGATAATAATTATTTTAGAGTTGCAAACACAGCCAGCCCTTCCGTACACCAGTAGACAAGAAAACCAATAAGAAATACTACTCAGTTGTTAAAGAACCAATGGGTAAGTACTGAATATTTAGGTTCTTATTTACATATTTCGAATGTTTAATTATCCAAAATACTTAAATATCTTCTATATAATTAAACAAGACGTTCGTATATATGTTCCCTATAGCCGGCCAAACGGCTGGACCGAATGGACTGACATTTTTTGAGGGAATCCAGGGGTACCTTGGGAGTAACAAAGGCTAAAAAAATTATAAAAGTTATTTTTTCAAATTATTTTTTACTTTTTTAATTATACGGGGGGCGTTGCCCGTATAATTAAAAAATTAAAAAGCTTGTATGTATATGAATGTATATATATATATACGAAGAGCTTTATTATATAGAAAATATATATTATTTTTATAGACTTGGAAACCGTAGAAAGGAAGCTGAACGAATATAACACTCTGGCAGAGTTCCTTGGAGATATAACAAGGTAGGGGCAACAATCGTCCACGTATATATCAATACACTGAAGACGACTTTCTACTTAAATTTTGAATTCTACCAATAATACTTTAAACAGAGAGAAACAACATGTAAAGAAAGAGACGTTATAATTAACTGACAATTGTTAATTAATTTACTTGTAAACTTGTAATTTTAAGAAGTTCTTGTAAAGGATCAAAGCATTATTAACTAAAAGTCGTCTGCATTGTTTTGATATAATACTGTATGTATTACAGATTTTTAAGAATTTAGGGAAATGATTTAGAAAAATGTATACCTTGCTCTTTTTCCCCCAATTTATCCAATAAACCATCAAAAATACGTACGGTGGGGAAAATAATAAATTTGAGGGGGGGGGGGAATTATTTCTTAAAAACACTAAGTTGCTTTGCCAAAGACGGATTTCAAATAACCAAAAACATAGTAAAAATGTTTTAATTTAGGATTGTTGAAAACTGTCGCTACTACAACCCCCCTGGAACCCCAATCTCAAAAACTGCAGAAAACCTGGAGCTGTTTGTATCTCAGAAACTTGGAGCAATTCGTGACAAGATGCTCCAGAAATAAGTGGAGTGCTCCCAAAAGTTGGATAATGATGTAATTGAAGAATAATTAACTCCTGGTCTTTTTTCTCCTGCCGTCTCACACTAATCTAATTGTAAACTGCCATTCTCCAGAAACTATTTGGTGGAAATTTGTTTTTATATATTTTTTCTATGAAAGACTGAAACTGTCGCGAGTGTACAGAAAAGTTGGAATTTGGCGGATTTTAAGAAATTGTGATTTAATATTTTTGTTTATGTTCAGTATTGAAAATTATATGTAGACTTAAATAAAAGTTTTTCAAACTATTTGTTAATATTTAAAAGACATAAAATGGGACAACGTTAAGCTTTAGATAAAACAGTGTGAATTTTTTAATTAAAGCTTTGATTACAGAGTATAAATTCCAGATTAAGGACATGATAGCTTTGCCCTAAGCACATGAAATCCGTTTAGTTATGTGTATACTCTGCCAATTCCAGTTTTTGACTGAATATTTCTGGCTTCTGAAATTCAGGGTGTGATGTAATTATTTTCATCTTCTGATTGATCTCCATCATTATATACAAAATGGCGACCCACAATTAGTGAGTTTTTGACTGAAAATTTCAGGCATTTGGCTTTTACTTGCTTCCAGCTGTAGTTCCTTTTTTCTATCTTTAGTGTTTACTTTCCGCATTATTATATCAGTTTTTTTTCAAAAATTATACACATTAAAGATTAGTAAAGAAAAAGAACCCAGCAAACATTTTATCTCCGACACCCCGATGGCGGAATTATTTACCCGACATCTTAGCCATCGGCACATATAGTCGGTTAAAATGTTTCCTGGAAAGGTTACAGCTGGCTGTAAAGTGTAGGGGGCCAAGAATGTCAGGAACAAGATTGACCAAAATCCGTACAGTCGTCTTATCCTTTGTGTGAGACAAGGTTAAAATGCAGGGAAAATTAATTGCAGTTGCGCATACTCTGTGTACATATTGAAACCAGTTCTCTCAGGGCGGAATTTGTAAACAAGAAAAGATGCAGCAGTGTTCGTTTAGTATCCGTGGAGGATAAAAGCATTACATTTTGATAATTTTGATAATTCACATAATAGTTTCCTACGACCAGAATATTTCATTGATTTTTCATGTGAAAGATGGATCTCATGTCTGGCTGTGACATCAGTCTTGTGTTAACATTACCGCCAAGAGACAGTACACTGCAGTATGAAAGATGCGTACACCTCTGAAATAACTTTCCTTGCATTATAACCTTGGTGTGAGAGATAATTTCAAAAAAAGTATTGTCTAATGCGATACCAGAGAATTTGCAATACTAATCACAATTCTGCGCATTAGATTAAAAATTATGCAATGTTATTATTCGATCAAAAATTATGCAATGGTATTATTAGATTAAAAATTATCCAATGGTATATTATTAAATATATTATTAAATATTATAAAAAATGAAAATAAATAAATTAAATTTTCATAGAAATAGAATCCGGGCATAGGGTTCACTCTTTTGATTTGATTTGATTTGATTTGATTTGATTTGATTTGATTTGATTTGATTTGATTTGATTTGATTTGATTTGATTTGATTTGATTTGATTTGATTTGATTTGATTTGATTTGATTTGATTTGATTCGAATTGATCTTGTTTTCCAGGATCTTTTCCCCAGCTCGACACTTTCTATTTGGCATAACGCTTAACTTATTTGTAAGAATTAATTTAATTTTAATTCAGGGGCAACTTTTAAAGGTTGTAGTTAAAAACAAATTTTTTATCATTTGATCCTTAAAGTTAAATTGTTAAAAATGCAAAGTAATTTATCCAATATGTGTTGATTGGTCTAAACTCTAAATGTATTCATTATTTAATTTAATTAATTCTTGGAAAAAAGTCAATTTGTTCAAATTTAACAATCTATCAATGTTCACAGAAAAATCCGCAAAAATTTTAGTTTTACAATGCACTGAAAAAAATGAAGGGTTAAATACCAACATTTAAACCTTAAATTGTTACTGAAGAGGACCGTGCCTTGAAAGCCTAGTGTATTTATGTACAGTGATAACCAGAAAACTCTGAAATAGGAAGACGACTTTTAAAGTCAAGTTATGAATTTAGATAGTCCAATAATTGTGCAGTGTATAGTGTATAATTAAGTGTCTACTAAAACTATTTTCTTTGTGACATCAAATACACTTAAGTATTGCTTTAAAATTATCTTCCTTTTAGAGAGTTTTCTGGTTATCACTGTATGGAATAACGTTTTAATAGTCTTAAATCAAGATACAATTTTGAAATAATGAATTAGTAAAAATATTTAAAAGCTTACTTTTTGAAGGAAAACTCCTTTTTACAAGAGTTTTCCGAAAAGTTTTGTCCCAGGGTTTCTAGCCCCAGAAAACTTAAAATGTTTACAAACTCCCTAAAGACATGACTCCCATGATGCTAAATCAAAAAGGGAAATTTCTAAAATATAAAACGGGGAAGAAAATGCATTTTTAAAAGTGCATGAATCACGGAAAACAGAATGCATCTTAAATTTTAAAAATAACGTTGAACTGTTTACTTTCTAACATACTCGGCGAGAGAGGAAAGGCACACCACACCAGTTTTTAGTCCGCACCACACATGAGGTCACAACTCAGTTATTTCTACCGAACACATCTTTTTTTGTCCGGGCGTTGCTTCTGTGTTTTCAAATGTATTTTTTATGCCATTAACACTTTTTAAAATTGGAATTTAATAATTTATTAATATTAATACTTCAAAAATAATTTGTAAACAACAGTGCCGCAACTAGACATATTCTGATGGGGGGAGGGGGGAAATATGAAATTTAATAAAGGGGGGAATCCATGGGGGGGGGGAATAGCCCCCTCTGCATCGAAATCTAAAAGAAAGTATTTTTAAAGGGTTTGATAGCAAAAAACAGAAATTTTTCAGGCTTTGTATATTAAAATTATTTGAAGAGACAGTATAGTTAAAAGTTAATTGTTCACCTGGTTTTCGATGAATGACAAATTGACAAATATGTTTCGTTCTGAAAATAAAAAACAGACAAAAAAGTTTTCATAAGATTATATAATAATGTTTTCAGACATCTTAAGTCTTAATTATGAGGAATCTGACAGAAAATTGTATACTTGTTTTAATTTTTATACATACAATGCACAGCTTATAGGGTTTCCACGAAATACTAGATTCTCTTGCGAAACAGTTTTGCGTTTTAGCACGAAATGATTTGTTTGGCACAAATTTTGCATTATTTTTGTATCAATACAAAACCAGGTTTGCAAGAAATAAATATTTTTAATTTGCATGAAATTGCGGATGAATATTTAATAAAAAAAAAATCACAATTTTTGCATGATGTTGTGCATGAATACGAAAATAAGTATTATTTGTTCTGTTACATAATGCTCAAATATATAAAAGATTTAAATATTTGGACAGTATGATGTGAATTAGTTACAGTAATAAACAACTTCCATATCTGCAGTATTTTATTCATGAACAATAATTTCATTATTATCGTTTTTTAGAGTTTGACACGGTAAAAATGCTGGTTACTTTCTTAAATAAAAATTTATTATGATAAATATGTTTTGAAACAGTGCTAAAGAGGACATTAATTAAATTTTGAAGACTATATTCAACACGGTTGTAAAAAATCACTCACAATGTCAACGGGTGATTATTTACATATTCAAATCCGAATTTTTGAAAAAAATATTCAATAAATAGGAATATTCCTATCCAATTGGATTCGATATGACAAACAAAATTATTCAAAATTTAAATAAAATGTATTTAATATTATTGTGCGAATCGCGCGACTAGAAAATATTGAATAAATTTACAACAAAAAGTTCTACAGTGTATAGATGTTCATCTATGTATTATTCTATATAGAGATGTATACATTTCTCTTGTTTAAATATCTGTTTGTTATGTTATCTATCTTAAATGGCGACTTACTAAAACCTTAGAAGTGAGGCCATTGGATTCATTCCTTTCCTGGAATTGTTTCTCGAAATAGCTCAAAATAATGCGCAAAAACTAAGATTTTTTCCATAATTTGCGCGAAATAGCTTTCGGGCATCCGTGCAAAATTATATCAAAATTTTGTGCAATTTTTACTAATAACGTAAGAAAATCTTTGCGCAATTATTGCATGATTTTCATGTAAAAAGTTTCGATTGGAAATCCTAAGCAGTAAGCACAGCACATTGCACCATGGACTCAGCAATGCACATTTAGTTGATCTTAGTAAAACTTGTTAAATATCTTCCATGCAGAATAAAAAATGTTTTACAAATTTCTGAAAAAATTTTATAATTAAAAACTAATTTTTTTAGAGAATCTTATAATCAACTTTTCAGGGAAACCCCTTCAAAAGATTTTGCCAAGATGTATTTTATTATTAGTTTTATCAATAATTCTCTCCTCAAAACCAACATAAGCTGCGCCATGCCCCCCCCCCCACCCCAACACGGCGGTAGCGATCTTAGGCAGCTTTTCTGCAAAAACTATAGTTAATTATAGTTTTTGTTATTTAAAAATACACGCTTTTTAACTGTTTCAAGTTAAAAGAAAATTTAACCAACTTAAGAACTGATAATTTCTAAGGCGTGCTAGCCACTTAAATGGGGGTTAAAAACTCAATTTTTTGGCCTTTTCTTTAAACAAATATACAAAATTCTGCCTGTAAGAGTATATTCTTGGGATTTTTTTCAGTCCTCTTTTTTCCTTTAGTCAGAATTACTTTTAATATTAACAGTTGAAATATGATAATACTAGGCTTTTAGTGCGCTTTGCAGCCATCTTCTATTTCAATTGTAAACATTTTCTCTTGTTGTAAAACAAAAACAAACAAAAAGTTCGCGGATCAAAAAAAAATTCATGGATTTTCAAAATTTAATGCAAATCGAATTTTGTTGATCATCTATAAACCTTCCCTGGGGACATGTGAAGTCCCACACAAGATTTGGGTCGTTTTGACGTTTATTGGATACAAAAAAAAAACATTCAAGCAAAGTATTTATTTAGATAGTGTTTA